AGTGTCAAGTATAGTCCTCGAAGCATATATCAACTGTAAAAAATTTGCAGCCAGTGCTCATCTGACAAATTTAAGAATAGCCTTCAGGAATCTTGACGAAGTCATTCAAGACCTTTACGTAACATATGCCATATATATCTTGGAGTACAAACCACCAAAATAAAAACTGGAGAAAGCGCAGAAGTAAGCAACGAGACTAGTCCCAGAGATAATATGTATGAACTATGAGGACAGGCTAAAGGAGTATAACCTGATGACATTAGAGGAAAATTGAAAAATGGAAGACATTAAAACAACATGCAAAATACTCGGGAGAATTGATAGGGTGTACAGGGAGAGACTCTTTGAGAGGACAGAAACAGGCACATAGGGAGCATAGTTGGAAATTACAGTTACAGATGATTCCGAGGGATCTCAGGAAATACTTCTTCAGCCTCAGGATGGTCAAGAAGTAGAACGATTTGACGAGAATGTAGTGTAGGCAGGCCCCATATTTAGTTTTAAGAGCAGGTACGACAGGAGGCTTTGGGGAGGGAATTTGACAAATGGCAAGTGGATAGGTGTGTCCAAGAATTGAGACTGCAACCACCTATATATAAGTAAATAGTACACGCCATCACATGTGACCCAGGAAAACTTTATTCAGGAAACTGTTGGCCTTAGAGCGGTGCCATTTCCTGGACCTCACAGCAACGCACATCACCGAAATTATTCAAGAACCAAGAATTGAACATAACAGCTACCAAGAATCATTTGATACACAAGATAATGATGCTAAGTATGCCAAAGGACTTGATCGGACAGGTTTCAACAGTCTTCCATATTTTCTACCTGCACTCTAAATGGTTATCCATAATTGAATTCTGGGGCAAAGAACAGAAAAAGGCATCACTGTAAGCTAATTCAGACACTTCTGTACCCTGAACTAAACCAAAGACTCCTGGAATGGCACTTGTTTAATGGCATCTTTGGAAAAAACAATTGCAGTGTATTGCTTAAATAACACATACTTACCTATCATTTGATGGAAGTAAAAAAGCTGGTAGCAATAAAAATCATTAAAGCAAGCCATTTCAGCTACTCTCCTCGAGCCTGCAGTAAAGTACAGGATCTTCAAGAACAAAATGAATGACTAAAGTAAAAGCTTCAGAATGTTCCTACAAACTAGAAAAGCACTTAAAGCTACATCACATCTGTCAGCAAAAGCAAAAAATACAATACAATGTATTACTTAGATAACAGACACCTACTATCAGTTGATGGAAACAAATAGAATCTTACAGCAAGTTTATTTTTTGTTGAAAATATTTCACGAAACATCTGTACATCTAATTAAAAAAAGTGTCTGGTCTGAGAAATACTGTGTCAAGCACAATAGTTGAAACGTTTCCTCAACTAGACTGAATAATACAAGATTCTCAGGCTTGGGTAACAAATTATCAACTTTTCAAGAGTTATGTCAATTAGGTTCGAGTTACACCACTAACTACAACACGATACTTAGTACGTTTCTAGATCAACAATGTGGAAATAGCTTCGTCAGTGTCAATGCGGCGGATGAATAATGTAAAACACACCTTTTCAGTTTTGAGAATGAACTGAAAAACTCAGGAGAGAATGCAGCAGCTTAAGAACTCAGAGAGTGCAGCAGCTCAAGAACTCAGAGAGTGCAGCAGCTCAAGAACTCAGAGAGTGCAGCAGCTCAAGAACTCAGAGAGTGCAGCAGCTCAAGAACTCAGAGAGTGCAGCAGCTTAAGAACTCAGAGAGTGCAGCAGCTCAAGAACTCAGAGAGTGCAGCAGCTCAAGAACTCAGAGAGTGCAGCTGCTCAAGAACTCAGAGAGTGCAGCAGCTCAAGAACTCATGGAGTACAGCAGCTCAAGAACTCATGGAGTACATCAGCTCAGAAACTCAGGAGTGCAGCAGCTCAAGAACTCAGGGGAGTGCAGCTGCTCAAGAACTCAGAGAGTTGCCAGCTCTCAAGAACTCAGAGAGTGCAGCAGCTCAAGAACTCAGAGAGTGCAGCAGCTCAAGAACTCAGAGGAGTGACAGCTGCTCAAGAACTCAGAGAGTGCAGCAGCCAAGAACTCAGAGAGTGCAGCAGTCAAGAACTCGAGAGTGCAGCAAGCCAAGAAACCTCAGAGAGGGGCAGAAAGCTCAAGAACTCAGAGAGTGCAGCAGCTCAAGAACTCAGAGAGTGCAGCAGCTCAAGAACTCAGAGAGTGCAGCTGCTCAAGAACTCAGAGAGTGCAGCAGCTCAAGAACTCATGGAGTACAGCAGCTCAAGAACTCAGAGAGTACAGCAGCTCAAGAACTCAGAGAGTGCAGCAGCTCAAGAACTCAGAGAGTGCAGCTGGTTTGGTGCAGCATAAACGGGCATCGAGTCTTATGAAGAAACTCCAGATAGTATAACAAGGCATGAAGAATTTTATGAGTTTGACTTTCATAAATGTTATAAAGAACTTGTAGACAGTATTCCCAACAACAACACGTCGCAAACATCTGCCTTGGAATCATTTTCTAAATCACAAAAAAAAGGAGAACCGAAAACACAAACGTGGTGGTATTTGTGTCATCACAGACATAAAAACAGAGATTATATATGGCAATGGTATTATTGAGCAAGGATGTAAATACTCTAGAGTGGTGGAAAGAAAATGATAGTTCTTCAGTCTCTGGTATCCTAGCCAGTAAGTATACGAGTTAACTTCTCTTCAGGAGAAAATGAACGATTGGTCACCATTGGAGAAAATAAATCTATTCATAGGAACAGATTAGTTTCTTTCCAGAAATGTGGAGATGTTGATGTTCCTCATCTTCAATTCAAGTATTTATTCTTAGTTTCATGTATTAGAATAATGTATGTGTTTCTCTATTTTTCAATGTTTTTCATCAAATTTTATAAAGAAACTATAAACTGTATAATGAAAATGTGTCAGTTAATCTTTAATATATCTGAAAATAATCAATTTAAAAAAATATATAGGAAAAATATCGGCCAAAATTGGATATCGGTATCGATATCGGCAAACATTTTGGTTTCGTCCCATCTTAAGAGATTTTCCCAGCGCTGACAACTTCAATCGTCTTCTTCACCAACACAAACACGAGAGAGACAGACCCACCCTTATCATTCCTCTGAGAGTGAGAAAATCAGAATCTTGATAAACAACAAAAATTGAAGAGAGGTAACACAGTGAAGGCAATCAGGATAATCACCTGTCAAAATATAGTTTCCAACTTTACAAGCACTTAGTGACAATGCGCTCTGCCAGGGAAACCAGGGACACCAGCAGTTCTAACGCCTCTACTCCATTGTGGAACTACTGTTTGTGCAAGTTTCAGACGTTTACAGATTATATGCCACTCCTATCTGGGGACTACACTAGGCGCTAAACTGGAATAAGATTCCAGCTCTCGGGGAGATTTCAGAGATATTCCTATTAGAGATTACGAGGTACGTTAAAAGTCTTTGGCTGGTCTGATTCCTAGCAAAATTAAACTTTTTTCTTTGACGCACCACTCTGTTCTCTTAAAAAGTTGGAAAAAATAACCTAATTGCCGTGGACAACATTTGTCGTCGCCTCTTTTCCCAAGCTGATGCCCGAAGTATTTCAAACAGAGGTGGCTATAATGCTTTAACCAAATGATCTTGGCTTTGGGATCCCTCAAGGCAGCGACGCAGCGGTTCTTGGAGCAAGGGCGTGCATCAGCAACCTACCTGAGAACAATGCAGTAGTAAAATTAGATTTCAAGAATGCATTAATCTCCTGAAAAGAGTCGTGGTATTATTAGCTGTTAATACAGCAAGGAATCGATGCTTCTGTTTAGGGAGCACGAAATCACTTCATGGGAGGGTGTCGAGCAAGGGGATCCTCTGGATCCAGTTCTCCTGCTTCCTGGATAATAGTACACTGACAGGCACGAAGGAGTCGCTTCAAGCAGATCTTGCTCAGGTGATAACACTGGGACATGACATGGGATTCATCCTTAATTCATCCAAATGTGAAATCCTCTCAACCAGTAAAGAAGTGATCGAAGCAGTGAGATCCATAATACCAGGTGCATCAGTCACTACCCCAACAGTGTCTTGCCTGAACACTTCTTGGAACTGATGGAACTGACTTAATTCTCGAGTTGAAACTAGACGATTTGAGTTAGATGAACTTCAAATAGGCAGTCTAGACACCTACGATGCCTTGTATCTTCTCACAAAATGCCTGAGTCTGCCCAGGTTAACATGTATCCTAAGATGTGCACCGTCAATCGTACTCTAGATAGGTGCTGTTTTACGCAGGAGATCACAGATTGCATTCACTGTTTTCCTGTGTGCATGTGTAGCATCCAGAGTAAACTTGTTGAAGTGATTGTTCCTAAACACCTTAGGGACAATGTTGGAATTCGTGACCAAAAGTTCATTGACGGATCTAGGCTCTGCAACGAACCCTGCTCCCCCAACAACTACAAACAGTCACACTGGGATGGCCCAATAGTAGAGAACATAGTCTCAGCACTGCTTCAAAGTGTTTGGTGAAGGACGGAGCTCGTCTTCTAGCAGTGAGAGCTGCTCATGTGAGGGATTTCCTGTTGGCTGTCCTCAGTTCATACCTTCTCACATTCCTCGACCCGCAGACCATTCGCACTAGTATTTCCCTTCGCCTTGCCGCTCCTATTCTCGCCGGGTACAGGAGTATCTGTGGCAATAAATCGGCAGAGCGATTCGGATACCATGGTCTTGCTTGCCACTGATCTGAGGGAAATATTATAGAACATGAAGTGGTAAATAATTTTATCAAGACATAGAAACCTTGGAACAGCCGGATCCCCAGCCACCTCAAGTATGCAGATCCGTTGGCTTCCAAAATTACCCTCTAAACCTGGACAGATAGTAAGTAGATGGTGTGGGACTACACATGTGCAACATTGGCTTCAAGTTATGCAGACTTATGTTATCATGTTTATCCTCAGGAAGGTGTGTGATGGAGGCTCATGTTTCCTCAGGGCGGCGCGAAGGCCGTGGTGTACACAGACGTGATGCAGACACTACTCATGTTCGGCGGGGTGCTGCTGGTGGTCATCATCAGCTGCATTGATCTAGGTGGCGTTGGCAACATTTGGGCTGAAGCTGAAAAAGGCTCCCGAATTGAGTTTTTCAAGTGAGTTGGTGTGATAGCTTAAAAAGATTGTATTTCTACAATTCTGCTTCCATAAGACACACTGATAGTCATTTCAACCAAAGATTTCCAATTGCATAATGTTGTACGTTTTGTAATGGAACTCACATACATCATTGTAAGAAATGCCAAATGAACATCAGTATTTCTCTGGGTAAAAAGTCTCAAGCACTGCTGATCAGTACTTCACGTAAATTCTTATATTAGTGTGTGACATATCCTGCAGTGTAGACCAATATGATTAATTGTATTGATTCAGCCTGTGTGAAAGACATTATCATAGAACACCAGGAACAATGCTTAATTTACAGTCCTTATACTTTTCAAAACATGTATGCTACCTTCTCTCTGTTTAGTTATAACAAAATTCGGAACAAGCATATATTACAATTCAAAGAATAAAACATAGCTTAGGTTGCAGACCTCTTGGAAAATAATACATAAGCTATGTTTATGGCGTAATTTCAAGTATTTTTGAGGCCAATATAATACCAAAAATTTATACATTCTTTCTCTAACTTTCCTGGTCACTGGAAGCTCATGAAGCTTCTTACTCCCTTGTTAGGTTTCCAGGTGCACCAGTAACCCTCGTACTACATGGCTTAATGAGTAGTCTTTATTTCAAGATAAATAAGAAGGGTTATTGAGGTTACCTACTTCCTGTTATATAACACACGTGATTTTATTTGCATTTATATATTTAAAAGCTAAATTCTATTTATTTTATACACTTATTTGTATTAGAATATTGGCATCAGTGATCTTAGACTTAAACTTCCGAGCAATTTGAAAAATGAATCGGTAAGCCATAATAGGCTGTTCATCATGTTTCCCGCTGACTATATAATATTATAACCTAAACTCTGATGTTTTCTTAGCATTACTTCTTGCAGGCTGCTTGATCCCATTCATATTAATAGTAGGATAATATTTCCATTTAGTCATCTAATTCCCAGTAACTTGTTCTTGAATATTCTGCTTATTATCTTTATCACTGAATCTGAGAAATCGTCAAGTTATTCATTTATTCCTTATTTGTTTGGAAAAAATATTTTTTTATCACTGGTTGCTGGGTTTATCACTGCGTATAAAAATTCTTACTGACCTTGTGCGATATATGACAATAAACATCTTCGCACATCTCATCGCTAAACAGACAGCAACATCAGTAATTCTTTTTTCCGAAACAAAAGCTGATAGCAACCTCGGCTGTTTATTGAATTCAGTTTTTAGGTTATTTAATTAATTAACTATAAATGTCCGTTTAGTTCATTTGGGAACTTTTTAACACCATCAAGAGAAGGTTAGATATCAAGTATCAAGTTGTAATAAAGTTGGTAGAATTACCGACAATATGTAAAGTAAAAGGACACAAGTGCAACTAATGTGACATTTATCAAGTTACTTGATATCTTACCAGGATGGAAAGAACGTCATCCAGCATGTAGTTCTAGTCTGTTATATTTATGTATGTTCTCACAACTGTATTGGGACTTTTATTATATATTTTCCTTTTCTTTTTACATTCTTTATCTTTATTTTTTATTATCCAAAAGACTATTTCGTAAATGAAATTCTCATAACAGAACAATAAAAGGTCATTTAGAGTTTCCAATTTCAAAATATTTGTTCATTAGTAAACTTCGAACAGTCGTATGACAACTGCAAGAACTTGAATACTTTAAATGATGTTCAATATTCCCAGTATCCACAAACTGCTTCCCCAGCTATACAAACTTCAGTGTCTGTGTCCAACACTAACAATACTGGGTAGTGAACCGATACTTTGGGGAAACCCTACGGCGATAATTAGGTAAGGGTAAGACAGAATACAGCATAGAGTTACAGAGTTTACTTTATAGACACTTAAGAAAGTTGATCGCGGCCAGTTGATAAAGTTAAAGGAAAGAGGAGTGTCGCAGTGGTGACAGAAAAGTTTTGTAAAATCGTAGTAAAAGTTTTAAAAAAAACCCTTAACTTAAGGCAGGGAAAATCTCGATTGAGCAAAGGAATCTACGTGAAGAGGATTTTCCCTTGCTACGATCTTTCTTGATTATACACCGCTTGTTTTTTTTCGTTTTTGATAAAAAAATCGCAATGTGGTCAAAACCACGGGAGAAGAAAAAAATAAAAAAAAGGAAAGCTGCCTGGGGTTCACTGATGTGCCCGGGTAGGAAGCAATATAATTTGAAACCCCTACTTCGGAGGATTTAAAGTTTAAGTCCTTTCTAAAATTTTTCTATACTTTTAAAGTACTCATGAAAAAATCTTTGAAATGGTTCGAAAGAACAAGATCGCCAACCACCTGGGTACCCATCGTTTACACCCGGGGGCAACACGGTTTAGAGCAGTCGCTTTGCCTGTCCCAAACCCTGGCCCACTATAAGGTCCGGGTGCTACAGGGATAAATAATGCAGGTGTAGAAAGCCAGACTTTGAAAAACCCTTCGAAAGTGTACCACGGTGTTTTAAACCAAAAAATGCATGATAAAGGAATAGCAGGAAAATAGAAGGATCTCTAACTTCCTAACAAATAAAATACAAAGAGTAATAGTAAACAGAGTAAAGTCTGAAGCAACTATGGTGAAAAGCTCTGTTCCACAAGGCACAGTACTCGCTCCCATTTTTTTCCTCATTTCTTTCTGACATAGACAGAGTTTAATCCATGCTCTGTCTTCCTTTGCGGATGACCCCCAAAAATTCCCATGACAGTCCTCCATCGAAGACACTGCACGCAAAACTCCAAGCGGACAATAACCAAATCTTCAAATGGGCCACTCAAAACAATATTAGGCTCAATAAAGAGAAATTTCAACTACTCAGAAAGGGAAAATTGGGGGGGAAAATTAAAACATTCAGGGTATACAACAAATTTTAACCATAAAATGAGCGAGAAAGTAATGTAAAGGACCAGGTGAAATGTAAGAGGACCCCTTAAAAGACCAAAACAATCTATCTACCGATCTGCTAAAAAAATGATCAGAGGATAATGAGAACCTTCAAAACCAGGGACGCAAGTCCATGACTTTCTTCAAACGCTGGTTTTCTCTGGGTAGAATACTGCTTAAATAATCCCCCCTTCAGGAAAGCAAAATTTGCTTACCTGGAAAATTTTCAAAAAACTTTTTAAGGTTAAAATAAGATAAACCACAAAAGTACTGGGAACGGTGAAGGCCCGATTTTGTATTTCCCGGAAAGCAGGTGAGAGGATACATGATAAATACGCCTGGAAAATCCTAAAGGGATTAGTACCAAAAATTCCCCGTGAAAAACTCCACCCCCTGAGCGCAAAAAAATTTGGTAAGACGCAACATCCCCAATGAAAAAACGGGGGGGCCACGAGACACAGAGACAACACAATAAGTGTAGGGGATCAAAACTGTTCAACTGGGCCCCCCAGCATAAAAAGGGGGGGTTCCATAATTCCTGGGTGTCTTAAGAAGGCACTGACATGCCCAAAAGACAGTTCCTGCCACCGGGGCTGTGGGGATCGTACTCAGTTTGCAGCGACCCGCAGTAACAGCCTGGTGACAACCCTGATCCAGCAGGAGGGTGGGCAAGACCCGGGGAGGGGGGCGTTGACCCCGAAACCCTCTCCAGGGATACTCCGGTAATGTAAAATTTAAATTTTGTACCAGAAGAAAACCCTTTGGGGAAATTTTCCTAAAATTATTACACAAGTGAAAATTTTAAATTTTTTCTAATCCAACAAATATTTTAAGAAAATTTACAATAATTTTAAAAATAAACAAACCAATGAATATATTTTATCGTAGGTTCAGAAAAGATATTCTTGAAATTATTTTTACGCAAAATTTTTTTCTGCTTTAACGGCAAAAGACCATTCATTTTAGCGAAAATCGCAAGTTTTACTTATTCGACACAATAATATATATACATATAATATATATATATAATATATATATATATTTATATATATATATATATATTATATATATATAAAATATAATATATTTTCAACGTTAAAATTTCAATTACCAGAATGGTAAACCGAGGAAATTTAAAACTTTTATCAGAGTACAAAACAAATTCTGGCCCCCAAAAAAGAGCGAAAACCAACGTCAAAGACCCGGGAGTGTCATGTCGGGGATCTCATCTTAAGGCCCCAACATTGTATCAATGCATTGCTATAAAAAGACGGATGGTAATGAGAAACCCTTTAAAAAAGGGGGGGCCAAGCCCTATGACATCTTCAGGTCCTTTTTTCTATCTAGGGTGGAATATTGCTGCCACTAACAGCACCTTCCAAAGGCGGGGAAATTGTGACCCAGAAAATGTACAGAGAAAACCTTCACGGGACATAAGGAGATAAAACACCCAAAAACTGGGGCGCTTGAGGTTCCGAACCTGTATTCCCTGGAACGCAGGCGGGAGAGATACATGATTATATACACCTGGAAAATCCTAGAGGGACTAGTACGGACTTGCTCACGAAAATCACTCACTACGAAAGCAAAAGATTTGGGCAGACGATGAAAACATCCCCCCAATGAAAAGCAGGGGTGTCACTAGCTCGTTAAGAGACCATACAATAAGTGTCAGGGGCCCGAGGACTGTTAAACTGCCCCCCAGCATACATAAGGGGGATTACTAACAGACCCCTGGCAGTCTTCAAGCTGGCACGGGGACAAGCACCTAAAGTCGGTTCCTGACCAGCCGGGCTGTGGCTCGTACGTTGGTTTGCGTGCAGCCAGCAGCAACAGCCTGGTTGATCAGGCTTGATCCACCAGGAGGCCTGGTCACAGCCGGGCCGCGGGGGCGTTGACCCCGGAACTCTCTCCAGGTAAACTCCAGGTAATATATTATATATATATATTTATTATATATATATATATTATAATATATTATATATATTATATATATATATATATATATATATATATATAGGGTCGTGCCGAATAGGCAGAATTTGCGATCTTGGTTTAAAATTTGCAACGCTCATCTTGCCATATAGGACAAGTG